TATTATCATTGTAATTTTTTCTTTAAATTAGCATGATTAATTTTCACAATTGACTTTATTATTAGTTAGCTAACGCAATATACAACTGTTAAATAACATAATATGAATATTTTTGACATTTCACTAATATACTAATCTGTGAATGTAATGGTATGTAAAATGTAACAGTTAAAAGAATAATTGCCATAGTAGTAAAATAATAATTATTTTGACTTTATACATGGTAATACATTTTTTGGTACTATACCATACTATAGTTTAAAAAAAATATAGTATAAAAATGCATTTTTGTGGTATATTTTCATAAGTAACAAATAAATAAATAATTCTTGTTTGCCAATTTTTATAAAACATTCTAATTCACGTTTCGGCAGTATTCTTTTCAGAGAATAAGCTTTTGATAATAATTTATAATCAAAAGGTATTAATAGTTATTAATTTGTTTTAATAGTCTATTAATAATGAAACAATTTTTCTCCAACACTTAGCAAAATTAAAAAATATTAGTGTACAATGTACATAACTAAAATACCTCTCTATTGATTTATGAATGAAAAACGTTTTTTTTATATTAGTTTTTCGTTGTTATTATGTGAGCACTATTATTAATAATTATTTAAAATAATAATAAATACAAAAAATATTTAAATATTTTCACGTCTATAGTAAATTATTTTACTCGAGTACATTATTTTCATGATTTTTTTATACTTAAACAAAATTTATGTAACTAATTAATAATACTTATACTATTTCAAAATAATTAATTATAGTAATTTCAGCACATTTTGATACATTTTATTATGTACTCAAACATATTACATATTAATAAGAACCAGCACTTTTAGATTAACTAAAACGTATAAAATTTAAAATTTAAAATAGAATATATTATATCGTTGTTTTCTGAGTTTTATACTTTTTATTGTTTACCAAATGTGATTTTCCTCTAAAACCAACCAAGATGAAAATTTCTTGGAACTGCAATCATAAATCGTCCTTGCTGTATAACGCCCATTAAACCTTTATAATTTACTTCTAAATACAAATGACTGTTTTCTTTGTTTTTTTCAAATAAGTATTGGAAAGCTCCGTTATAATAATTAATGTTATAGTCGTAATTTATTTTTATTTCATTATTCGAGTTATTATCCGATTTGATGGTCTATTTTTGTTTCAAATGCATTATCTTTAAAGTTGTATTGTAGTGTAAAGAAGTATCATATTGAAATGTGATTTAATACACCTCGGTGCTGTAAGTGTTCAATTAAACCGTTGACATTATTTTGTTTCTAGTTCTAAATATATAATAAAGCTTTTTTGTATGTCAGTATTCAAATGTGTATTTAATTTTACTAAATATACAATTTTCATATAACTTATAGCTTATAAATTTAACTTAAAGTGCAAACTATATAAAATATTGTATCTTATACTTCAATCTCAAAAAAAAAAAAAACATTAAACATTAAATATTTGATAAGCTCATATACTAGTTACTACGATTCGGTTCTTAAAAGTAAATTAATTTGGTAATTAATTACTTTAATTACTTTTCGTAGATTATAATCGCCCGATTTCAGGTAGGTTTATACTAAAGACATATATATCAATGTTATCTTAGAAACAATAGGTTGTCTTTTTTCAGTTAAAATATAGTATAAACATTATTGGCAAACTTTAGAATTTTCATTATTTTGAACATATAAATGTAATGATATATTATATTTGTATGTTAACCATACAGGTAGATAATAGGTACATAAGTTAACGGCAGTACTCTTATTTAATTAACCTATTTAATATTCAGTTTAATAATTCAATTTACATAATATAATATTATATAAACGATACGCAGACAGATGAATCTGTTCCAATTATAATGATGCAAGTATATTTTTTGCTTAATACTTGACGTGTTTCATATTTTAATTAAATCATTATATGAATTTATAATAATACGTTTAAACCATATTCCAAATTAGTTACATTAACCTAATCAAAGGTGGGTAGAAGTAAACTGATTTGGATGTAGGTAGAAACTGATGTATTTGAAACCTTTGTCTTTAAATAGTACTTTAGTTTCTTTGTTAAGATAACGAGTGACAAACATTGTATATAATGAATATAATATAGTGTTGGTGTAACCATCACTTGGAGCTATTTTACTCGTAACGATCAAAGTGATTTTTAGTTAATAACAATAATATGACTCATAATTCCAGTTAGGTGTTTCCGTTCAACAGTTAGGAAATGTTGACTTCCATCGTACTTCAAACGATATATTTTCAGCCAAACACAATGGAAACGGCATCAGAAATTTCCGAAATCTCTACTATTAATTTCGACTTGTTAGACTTTAGGGACGTGCTTGTTTATTCGAACACGTGTTAAACGCAGGTGTACGGAAATGTGTTCTCTGTGTTTTCGTTATAACACAATAATATAGTCTGGGCGGATAATGGCAGCAACAATTAAATTAGAGTTCCGCACACCGCCATCCAAAGACTTGGCTGCTGATTAACGAAATAAACTCAGGAGTTATATCTTTTATGTTCCGATGACTTTTCAGTGGCCATTTATTTCAATTGTATTATTCAGTTTGGTTTAGCTTGGTATGAAACGCACTTACTTTCTAATTGTTTGCTATATAATATTATGTAAACTGAAAATCAAAGGAATACATTTTCCAGTCGTTTCTTAAATAATACATCGGAAGTAAATTACTTCAAATAAAACACAAAAAAAAAACCGACCTTTAGTTTTGAAAAATAAGTTTCTGCTTCCGAAAAAAAACGACTAGCTGCTAAAATTATATGTTACAATTATTACATAGACATGAAATATGTGTTGATACCTCTGAACAGTCTTCACATGCGTATAGGCATTGCACTAGATTTTACGTGATTTTTTTTTATAATATTGAATGAATATGTATTATGCAGAAGAAAAATGTATTAAATATTCGATGAAGCATAGTATAATGTAACATATCGTTTTCATCGTGAAACATTTTGACGATGAACGATTTCGTTTTGAGTGGCAAAAAATAGCATCCAGATACTTAAGAGATACATAATTTAAGTAGGTAACATCATCGACTAAACGTCACAATAATAAATCAAAAACAGCTAGAAAAGGGCATAAAAAGCACTTAAATTCATTGATTGTAAATGTGCATTCAATATTATAAAAGGTTATTATTGAATGACTAAATCTGATGAATTCTGAATGGAATAACTGCTGCCTCTTATGGAATGTAGAAGTCTGAAGAATGAATTGTAAATGGAAATAATCAATTCTAAACTAAGAACTAAAAAATATTTAATAATTTTCATAACAGATGTTTTTTATTCGCACATGCCTACAACACTGCACATACACGCATACATTTTATTTCTCTGAATAATTATTTTCATGTTATTTAGTCAGTTTTGTTAATTGATCTGTTAGCATGAAAAATATTATATCTATATCTCCGTAAAAGAATATTTGTATAATACATATAATATAAATACGTTTTGAAGTACTTCTATTTATAAAATTAATAATGCTTAAAACCGGGCTTATAATTCAAGTTAAAAAAAATATTTTTAAATAAATTTGGTATACATACCTAATTAAGTATATTTATGAAAAGTTTTAAACATTTTTATGATAACAAATATACAGCAATTATCATAAACAGAGTAAAATTTACTTTTTAGTTACCATAAAACAAGTTTAAAACGTATAATATTATGTTGTAATTAAGTGAATAGCAGCAGTCAAAAATAACAATGACTTATTATGAGACATATAAATTAGGTACTTCTACACAATATTTGAATATTTTTTAATTTACGCAAAAGTGTTGTTTTCTGTTTTGTAATTAAATATGATATACAATTCTGCAATTTACATTAAAATAGTTGAATAGATATTTTATGTATGCTGTTTGTGTATAAATAAAATCATTTTAAATTATGGCTTAAAAATATAATCTATTAATTTAACTGATAGTCATGAAAAAATCAGTTAATTTAATTTGAAAACAATATTTGTTAGCATAAAATATTGATATTTATTTTTGGTAGCTTATTTTTTTTTAAAAAAACAACATGATCAAATAGTAAAAACTTTCACAAATCAATCAAATTAACTTAGTGATAATTTAAAAAATGTTTTAAACTGATGCACATTATTTCTTGACTTTCTTGTCGCTGGAACACTTAGCTCTACTTATTTAACCTGTCAGTTGAGAAAGAGAGTAGAAAATTCTAAAAATAAAACAGAAAAGAAATCGGCTACCCCGTCAGATGTGTATCATGGTGAGCTACATGACTGGGTAGGTTTAACATGCAGCTAATGATTAACGGTTCATTACCTGTAGAAAAACCACGGCATTTGAGGATAAGAAAGTTAAAAGTATAATAACAATATAAAAACAAAAGAGTATGAAGTTTCTCATTCACCATTGGATCTCAAGAAGTGCGAGGGTGGAAAAATTCAGAGCTTTATTGAAGTATAGGTCTTGTGGGAGTACAGTTAATTGCTTTCGGAGAGACAAATAGTTTAAAATCTTGTTTGATCCTTTGGACCACGTCGTGGAGTTTAAACTTGCATATCACATTTCTTCGTCACTCGTGTGAGGTTTGTTGCTCAGGTTTCAAGTTTCTAAACTTAGAGAAATTGAACGTCAGTTGGAAAGCCATGACTACCATATCCACTAGTCAAGTATATGAAGCTCAATAGTGGGGACAGGTTGTATACGAAAACACCACTTAACATCAATTTACTATTTGAATTATTTTTCTTTTTCAGTAATAAAATTATTTTTTGTTTAGGATTGACGGTGATTTAATAGTCATTTTAGAAATAATTTGGATGGTTGGACCCAACTCCCGATAACCTTACCCATCAATACTCCCTCCTCCCTAAAATAAATACAATTTTGTGAACAAAACTTGATGATAAAATAATAATATTATATTAATTACAATATCTTTGTTGTTTCGTAGACATAAGACATCGATGGTGCATCTCGGCGGTGAACGGCTGGCGCCCGGACGACGGCCACGGACGTGATGAACTCGTCGGCCTCTCATCACGACGAGACGGCCGCCAATCGGTCGTCGTCGTCGTCGTCGCCATTCCCAGAGTGGAACGGCAACTGGTCCGTAGTGTTCTGTCCTGTGTTCGAGGGTGACGGGACGGACGAGGACGACTACAACCTGCTGTTCGAGTTCATCACCTACGGAGTGCTGCTGAACGTTATAGGCGTGTTCGGCATACTGGGCAACGTGATATCCATGGTGATTCTGTCCCGGCCGCAGATGAAGTCGTCCATCAACTACCTGCTGATCGGTCTGGCCAGGTGTGACACGGTGCTGATTGTTACGTCCGTGCTGCTGTTTGGATTGCCAGTGGTCTACCCGGCCACCGGACACCTGTTCAACTACTACTTCAAGGTGTACCCGCTGATCGCGCCTGTCGTCTACCCTATAGCGATGGTCTCGCAGACCGTATCAGTGTATCTGACGCTCACCGTCACACTAGAGCGGTTCGTGGCCGTCTGCCACCCTCTCCGCGCCCGGTCCCTATGCACCTACGGCCGGGCCAGGGCCTACGTGGTGGCCACCATCGCGTTCGCCGTCCTCTACAACGTCACGCGGTTCCTGGAGGTGCGTGTCCAGAAATGCATGCACACCGGTTACAACCAGTACGTGTACCAGGTATACCCCAGTGACCTGCGCAACGACCGCGACTACATATCCGTTTACATACACTGGATGTACCTGCTCATCATGTACTTTATACCATTTGGGTCGTTGGCCGTGCTCAACGCCGCCATATACCGCCAGGTAAGCCCAACGCAGCCAAGTGTGACAAATGTGAGTCACCTTAATCGGTTTCATATTTATGACTAAAGCGTCTTGAAAACAAAAAGCTGAAGCTGTAGTGGAGGGGGGTTGATCAGTGGTAAGGGGATGGGGTAGATAAGATTACTTCTCACGGGAACTTATCGGATGGCCAATAAATTAATTGAGTATCTTTTTTTACATATTTATTAATTTTATTAAAACAGATGCAAATACAACACTTTTGATTAATATAGTATTGATGACGTTTTATTATCAGTTGTCTTTCAATATGAGCAAAAAATAAAAAATAAAAACCACCTTCGTTGAAATGTATTACTTGACATGTTCGTATATAACATGTCCGAGTAGAACAAAGACTTTTGGCAAATGTGGTATGTACCTATTTTTATTTTATGCTTACCATAATATTACAGACAAAAATCACGACACATATAACTTCAAAAACATAAATTATTGTAAAATTGATGAGGGACCATACAAAATTTGATCACGATCGACTCCTACAGCTATAATAAGTATAATATTAAAATCGTTAAATAACTTGTATGTATTAAGCATATTGCTGAACCACGTATATTATATTTTATCCAATGACTGGTGAATATCATCAAAGGTAGATATTATAATCAACTAATCAGACGACTCTGTCAACCATAATATTTCACCATAAATAGGTTAACCACTGGTTCATACATTAGTGCATGTTAAATCATAACATAAATGCTTAAAACATTATAATATTACAACTGTATGACGACAATATTATGCTCCAACTTAATACAACTTTATAGAGCGAGACGTCATATAAATTATAATAATAAATAATAATATATTGACAGTTTTATCTATGTGCCTATGTAAACTGTATGAATTAACAAAATAGGCCGTTAAATAGGCATAAGTGCTTATTGTTTGGTATCTGCTGCATGCTGAACGACGGTAATAATGTAGTAAAATAATATTTGCGCTTGTAGTAGATACATAATTTTTATTTATTACAATATATTTTTAACTATATTCCAATTAGATAGAACCAACGTGGTAAGTTAGGTTATCCAGTTTGTTTAAGTTGACATTATTAAATTGGATTTCGAATAATATCAAACGGTCACTGGTGGTGATCTGGTGATTATTCGGGCTTGATGTAGGTACTATAGTGGAAAATGTATAAACAATTTAACAAAATGTCGTTCAACAAGTGTTGAGTTTGTATTGTTATTTTTTCTAATCTACTTTTAATGTACTTTTAATAATTTATAATACTATGTGTATTACATACAAATTATCATCCATGCGACAATCTATAGTTGGTATTTACAGTCGGTAAAATATGAAATTAACTAAATAATAAAAATAACCCGTGGTGGAGAATGATTAAGCTATGGAAACATTTTTTGAAAATATTTATTATAAAATACCTGCTCGAAGGTGGAATAATTGGTGTTGAAACGAAACCGTAATTATTAATATATTATAAGTATTAAATCGTTATTAATAGTGCTTAGGTTAATGTCTGGGTAAGCCATTTCATTTATTGTATGAAAATATTCTTATTTATAATATCTTCTTGACATATCGATATTAGCATTAATATTATTATATATATATGTATATATATTGATAGATAAACTAATGTTAAATATTAAAAAATACTATCAGCCTGGTTGAAAACTGAATTTTGAAGTTGAAAATAAAACTGTGAATGATTGGATGTAAAATCGTTTGCTCGGTGAATAGAAAATGTTAGGAAAATAAATTTGAAATTTAAAATTAAGAAAGCTATCAAGAGGAAGATAAAAAGTATCACATAACATTAATTCAATAATTCAATAAACAGTGGAATAAATGTAATAACTAAGTTGTATATCAATAAACAAAATAATGACAAAGAATAGAAAGAAGTTATTGTTTTAAATTAAGTTTTTATCGTTGGAACAAGGTTTAGTCAATGTAAATTATGTAATCATAGTAGCCAAGCATAAAGTTGCATAGCAGGTTCATCCAACAATTGAACATTTTATTGATGTGGCTTTTCACGCTTTTGTGGTACTTTGATATTCAGGTACTTGGGAATTATAATATAATATTATTATAAAAAATACACGCAGAATTTTAGTCCTAACAATAAAATGAAGTTCATATTATTACTTTTATTGATTAATCTCACTATATACAAATAGGTATATTATATGTTGTAATATAATTGAATTCGAGTGTATAACAATAACTTTTGAATTATTAGTGATTAATTATTAGCTTCATTTGGTGCATGCTTCGTTCAAATAAGGTCCAAAATAAAACTCAATTTTAAAGCCATCTACATTTACTTCACAACATTATTTGTAAACCGAATTCATTAAAAAATTTAAACTATATGAAAAATATTTAGATAACATTGAGTAACTAAAATACTTTGCAGGTGTTAATTAATTTACTTAAAATTTAAATTCTGTAATACTATAAAACAAGTATCAGTGGTCTGGAGATTGAAAACTCGTGACGCAGGTACACATTATGGTATTTCGAAAACCATAGAGCACATACCGTTAACTTCGGCTGAAAAAAGTATACCGTCAGTTGCCTTTTTGTTTATAAATTATGCGTTAAACAAAACAAATCGGACCTCGCACAACTGTCCCTCGTTCAACCACTACACCATTAAAAATCCAAAAATGATTGCACTCACTTTACGATTAGGTTTTTTCGGTTGTTTGAGGACAATAATAATATCATATCATGCGTTTTGCACTAAGTCTTATTAACGATACTAAAGTTTGGTCAATGGGTTAGGTCACGGTCCATGAATCATGTGATTCACCGCGTATGGCTGTGACAAGTTACTCTCCAGTGGGTTAAGCACTCTTGTGTGATTTCACGTCATCTGTATCACGGGTGCGTAGCTTTTTGTCGCATTAAATCAAGTTTATAGTACTACCCGTTTGTTCAAAAATATTATATTGTGTTAAGTAAGTTAAAAGTAAGCTTCCGTCTTCAACAAGTTGATCGAAATATTGTGCTTAATGCGCCTTGGTAAAAATGATGCGTGAGCTTCTGCCGATAAAATTGCAGACTACTACTACAAATACTATAATATTTATATATTTTTTTAGTCTTAATATTAGCTTGAAATATGTTTCGGGAACTTGTTTGATCTTAATACCATATGGTTTTATACTATTTCTGATTAAGTAAATGTACCTACGTAAAATGAATAAGATATTGGATACTATATTACTTACTAAAACCCCTCCATTCATTTATCGCTTATGATAATTATATTTACGTGACTAGATTTTTAAAGTTGAAAGTAGATTCACTCAATTGAATTTTATTATTTTCATACATTTTTGTCGAATTAAATGTTAATAATCATAACTGAATAAATTAGAATACAGAAATCAGAAACAAAAAATTCTCAATCTATTATTACGATTATTATTTTTATTTAGGTATTAAAATTTCGACACAAAAAAAACTGAAACTTGAAGTTGACCGTTTACAGTAATTAATATTTGTTGATATATTTTATTCGACTTTGTTTTATTTAATGCTTCGTTTGGACTTGAATAACGTTTTGCTGAATACTTTTCAAGATTTATGTCATAATATTCAAAATAAGTTACTTAACTTTTTAAATATTTTAAAATCTATTTAGGCAACAAGGTGTTCATTTATGTGTTTACAAATTTAAGACCCTAATGCTGAGGTAAAATTTAAAAGTTGCATAAGTGTTTTTAAATGAAAAATATTGACAAACCCATGAATACGCTTTTGTGTAAATATATTCAATAATTAATGCAAGTTATTGAATATTCAATAAGGCACTATAATAAGTCTGAGTAATTTATCATATGCCTTCGAAATGTATAAAAAAAATAACAAGCCATTTCAAAATAATTTTGAAATATAGTGAGTTTATGGTCGATAAAGTTATACCACAGATACAGGGTAGTAATAAAACGCCTTAATATACTCGAAAGGAAACACCCACTAGGAGTATAATAATATATCACACTATATATCGAAATAATATGTAATAATATTATTGTAGTTAACAAAGAGAATATTATGCTTATTTTCATTGTATGTTTTACAAGAATGTTGTGTTTAATTTTTAAACATGTCTATTGTCTACTTCTTACATTATAATATCTTCGTGGTTATGAGGAATTGAAATATTTAATAAATATTAATATTTTAAAGATAATGATGTTTTGATTAAATGCCTTTATGGGTCTGTGAAGTGGGACGGTTAGGGAGCTGAAGTGGCTAAGCCCTCCAGTGTTAATATTGTAGTAATTGGTTCAATTTTGGTTTCCATTGGTATGACATAGATTTCTAGGTAAATTCATTGAGTAGGTAACTACTCAGATGATAAAGTTATATGATAACATTTGCTAAGGGTACGTTACCACTGAGCTATTTAAGGAGTTTTCGTCTGAGATTTCAACCCGAAAGTTTAGCTATTTTGCTCGGACTGCCGAGTCCGGTAATTGAATAACTTTGAGGTACAAAGTGTTATTGGAACGCACATTAACGGTATTACGACACTATCAGAAAATTATTATATCATTGGACTACATTAGGCGCAAAAGTTTTATATTATTTTTTATCCGTTACAAATATTTACAATACACACTATAAATAATTAATTACCTAATGTTTTTGGTGTCGAAATCGTTATTTTTTATCAACGTTTTTGGTACTTTATAATATAAAAAATCAAAATTCGTATAAAATGTACTTCATCACTAATTATCATAGCAAATTAGCACTTGACAGTTGAAGACTTCACGATGCGTATTAAATATCTAATTAAATTAATATGTTCTTTTACAAAACATTTACAATAATTTTTAAGTAAAAACAATTATATCCATAGTTAATTCAATAATTATTTAATAAATATTATTGTAGATTACTATCGCTAGATTCTGTGCAATGCATATTATAAAGAAGCATCATGCACACTGCACAGA